TCAATCAATACCGAAAATTTGCGACAATATTTCATCTTGTGGACCATGACTTCTATCTTGATCTTGAGGATGCAATGTCAAAGCGTCTGTTTGCGACGCTTCTTGTAACTGAGATTAATTTCGAAGTTCGTATCATGAGTTTCGATGAATTTTTGGGGCTCCTTTGAATTTATTGTACGGCCGTTTTCCTGCCATGTTGTGTCTGAGTGACGTAATCAGTTCTGCTGGACTAAAGTAAAAGAAAAGGATACTCTTGGCATGATTACGTTGTTTTCGTTCTTTCTTTAAATGGAGTGTCGGTGCCAAGCTTTCATTAATGCCTTCAGAAACAGACAAGATGAAGCTATGCAGGAGCATATGTTCAATCTTTAAATGCCTAGCAACTTACGGACCAGGCAATAAGTCCAGCAGCTATCTCAATCAATCGTTAGTTCCAAAGGCCGGATTCCTTATTAATCTAGTCACGAAAAGTACAAGAATCGGCAACAGGCCATGGCCTATTTCTTCAGTGCCGACACTTCTATTCTATTACTGGATCAAGTAATGTTCATTATCGTACTAAATCTTGTCATGCGAAGCCCATATATAGCGACCTATGTAGAGCAGAATCCATACAACGTTTAAACCTTACCATAAGATCGTGACCAATGAATAACGCAGATAAAATAAATTATCATCTGGTGGCCATGAAAATGTACTCTCCAAATCATTTCTGATTATATAAAAAGTTCAGGTTCCAATATTATTATGGTTTCGTATAGCTTCCGCAATGGACGTACTTGCATGTGAAGTGTTCTCCCGTTGGCGTGAGGTCAGCGTGCAAAAACTGCCCTTGACAAGATCACTGTTGGCCAGCGCCCGCTGCTTGCTCTCTTGCAGGCCATTTTGAGTTTTCGCTTTAAATGGCGAGGTTGCTATAGTAGAAGCAAGGTTAAGGGTAGAAGAGAATTATCATAAATACGCATTTTCTCGTTTCAAGTTAGTTTTCCTTTTGTTTTGATTTAATGAAGTATTCTGGATGAAAGTATTGAAAGGGAGAACAGTGGGCACTATTTTTCCCATACACGTTGAGTCATCTATATATATTATGCGTCGCCCCTATTATATTCTTTACTCTGCCTTGGTAGTAGTTTTTTTGTACAAATTGGGATCATTTTGAAAATTACAAGCATTTGAGTGCGATTAAGTTCTACATGATGATCATCTATACTCCACTGAAGCTTGTCATTATCTTGATCTGTTGCTGGATAGGAACGTTACAATTTTCAACATCTATAATAGGTAGGTGTAAACTTGCGCTTAACTCAAGCAATAGCGCGAATACGCAATACGCAAGCCAGCATGACTTGCTTCTTTCGAGCTACGTTTGTTTCGAGCGAAGTTCTGCACAGTTCAGTGCCTAAAAGAACGCCAGCTGTGCGCTGCTTAGTTACAACCGTTATGCTTTACTGTACCTGCTGTCGGTGTGCCGTTCAAGAATACTAAAATCAAGAATACTATTTCAAGTAGATGTGCATATCTGATTTGTTTCTGTGTCAAAAATGAGCACGATCTTCGAAACTGGATAAAACAGAGAAAAGCCAAAGTTTCATGTGTATGCGGTAATATTTCTTGAATGAATTATAATGTGGGGGGTTAAGTAGGCCAATAGTTGTGGTTTCTTTCTTGAACGATCGTGAAGTTATGTAATTGTTGACGTGTCGTGCCGTGAAGGGAGGCCTTTAGATAATTACTTTAACAAAGGATAATTACTACTTTACCTACTTTAGATAATTCTTTACGAAGAGATAATTTCCTTGTGAGCGATGTCGCGACTGCATGAGGCTTTGGCCTCTAATGAGTATTTTTGAGTTAGGCAGATTGCCTAACTGCCGCATATTTTCTATTGTGATTAAATGGGCTTTGACCAACCAATAAGAATGAGTATAAATAATCACCAGTGATTTCGATGCTCGCGTAAATTATAAGGTTTTTATTATATTTGTGTGCTGTTGTAGTCTATGTTGACTTGGCAAGGAAGCCTCGTCTAAAATACCCCTCAAAATAATTAAATCATATAGACTGAGTGTGGATTTTCCGCATTTTGGTACAATTGATTATTAGCTCCTACCATTGTTCTCCACTGAGTATAGTAAATTGTATTGCAATATCAATAGATGAAATAGGGTACTATGTCAATATTAATACGTAATGCTACCGTGATGACGGGATTAGTTTAATTCCACCATGGATCTACATTACATTTAGCAAGTTCTTCCATGCTGCAGAACTCATTTTCGGCAAATAATTCTACTCGTATGTTCATATCTTCGCCTGTGTTCAATTGCTTAACCGAGGCAAATTATGCCTTTTGATTTCCAAGGTCCCTCCGATTCCTGAATATTTATATCATGATGTGTCGAATGTTATTTGTAAACTTCGCAATTGAGAAAGTATACTTTTGCGAATGGGCTATTTTTTTAAATATCTATGTTAGTTTAAGCTGCGTAAAAGTAAACTGGCGTGAGCGTAATTAAGTACCTACCATTAAATTCATAATATTGTGTAGTTTGTAAACTTAGCGATTGAACAATGGAAGAAGTATTACTCCGAAATCGTTACCGTATTTATTAATATCCTTAATATTAATGTCGCTTATTTATTAATAATAATGGTATGATATAAGCTGTACAGAAGTATGGCAGGAGTGAGCGTGTATAACCGCAGCCTCGTCACGCCTGAAGGTCTCCTCAGCTCTGCTGCTCGTAGGGTTTTCCCGCTCCGCTGCCTCAGGATACGTTCCCACTCATCCTGTTTGCCGGAGCTCACTATACATGTTTAGTACGATTTGTGTGCGAATTTCTTGTATTATATCTCTTATACAAGCCTGAGAATTGATCGTTGGAAAATCACAGGTTTCAATGTCCTTCACAGTGTCATGCTCAGTTACTTGTTTGCTTGCTTGAAGCCCCAGGCAACGCTTCAGCGTGGCCTGGGGCTGCTGCGTCTTGGACCATATATAACACACACCGAAGATTGGGACCATATATAAGGTGCACTGTTAGAAAAAACGGTGAAAAAACGGTCCCACTGGCGTTCTAGTGGCCGGTCGCCCCGTGAAAAGAAACTGTTTTGCCGTTTTTATCAAATGTTTAACTGATTTCTAGTGTTAAATTAGAATAAAAACGGCGACACGGTGTTTCTTTTCACGTGGCAACCGGCCACTGAAACGCCGGTAATACCGTTAACGGTAATTTTTCTAACAGTGTGGACGTGCATCGTCTGGAAAATAACGCTGGCAGTTGTTAACTCTCCTCTTGACCGATAAACCTTCAGCTCGTGTCGTCTTGTGTTGCTGTTTCGCTTCCATTCGTTAGTAACATTTGTCATAATTTGTAACTAATATTGGGGTTACGTGTACAGGTACAGTAGATAACATCCGATTTGAAAATCGGCGGCTCTATAGTCGTAGCTCGTAGCTCAAAATTATGAAGTTTCTAGTTGAAATTGGTAGGGTAGCCGGGTGGTTCGGAATTGGTGTCAAGCCCCTTTATGGCCGTATCAAAGCTGATAACGCTATATTATATTATACGTGGGCCGCTTATCAGTTGCGAGTATATAAATAGACTGTGCCGTTAAAAAGCCAAACTTCTAAAGATGACTTCTTAGCGCATTTTCTCATTTATGGAAAAAAGGCGCTATTGTGCTCGTCATGTCCGTCCGTCTGTCCGTCCATCACTTCACGGACGGACGAGAAAATGCGCTCTCTGACACACTCACTGCAGTGAGTACTGAGTTAAATTTTTTAATCTTTCGCTGGGATGTCAGGAAATGACTTTCTGGTAGCTGTGAAAATGCTTTGTCGTTTACGCTGAAGCTACTGTAACTAGTTCTATTTAGTTTGTTATCTATTGTTTGATTGAATCTTCCTGTATATGCCAATAACATATATAGCTATACGGCAGCTTTGTGTGCCGCGTCTGCTGTTATCCAAGTAGCTCGTCCATATATACCAGCTTCGTTCTCTATGACCTCTTCGCATTATTTATTTTCCTCATCATAATTCAAGTGTACGTTTGTATACAACATTTTTACTGAAATTGAAGCACTCTTATTCTGTCTGTAGAAATTTTACGATTATATTTCTTTCATATTTTGCTAATATTCGTTTATATTTCTTGGATTTTTTTCAGGTCAAATATTGTCCATCATTGGTCTCTCACTAGATATTGATATTAATTTTCCTGTAGAAAAGCACGTCGTGGCTGGGCTCATGTTTGTTGTGAAGTTTCCTTGTGGCGCCGCCATTATCTACTACCCGTTGACACGTGCAGTTTGCTACGCCCTCCTCACTCGGAGTGAGCTTCTTCTCATTAATTATAGTTTTGTTCTTTAATTCCAGAGTTGGAGTGATCATTATATCAATAAGGAATATTTAGAAGCTAGTATATTGATTTACATAGAATACGAATCGGAAGAGAGCTCCTACTGTGTTTTATTTGTTTTCAATATGATTGTTAAAATATAAACAAGGTCATCATTATTCTTCTATCGCTTCCAAATCTTAACCGATGACGATTAAAAAAATATAACTCAGTACTCACTGCAGTGAGTGACAGAGAGCGCATTTTCTCGTCGACGAAAACGTGAAGTCACGGACGGACGGACGGACAGACGAGCACAATAGGGTATTTTTTACATAAATGAGAAAATGCGCTAAAAAGAGGAAATATTAAAAACACCTTGTATTGAGGAGCATATTGCCTACACAAAGAACATATCGATAAACCATTGGCAGATGGAAGTCGGTGCTTGCAAGTTAACATGTAATTTGAAAACTATTTTTATTTGAGCCTGGAATTTGTAACCTATGCTGTCCATTTCTGTAGGTACATTATTTTATTTGTCGTGTATGAATTGTGATGTCTGATAAGGCTTCGTGTATAACATGACCTTGAAAATACATTGAAAAATGTGAATGCTCAGGAATATTGCTTTATAATTTTCTTATTGCATTTGCAGACAAATAGCTGAGGGCAATTGGAGGATGCCACGTGAGCTATGCCAGGTTTTAGTGCGTCTTGGAGATAGTGTGGCTTTTATTGTGATATAATAGTATTATTTTTATTATATAAGTATATTGCAGCGATGACAACGAAAGCAGTGTTAGTGGTGATGTGTGTGGTGATGATGGTGACCACGAGGGTGCTGGGTGGTGAGCCGAGTGGTGACGTCACTTATACGAGGAAGCTCACCATGCCCGGAGTATCACCACCCACGGTTCGTTTAAGTTTACTTATCAATACAGGCATCATTTTAGGCTAAACTTATCCTTCGTACATACGCTAGTACGTACTTCTGGAAATGTATATATGAGTGAAAATGCATTTTGCTAGCCTAATAATATTTATATTGAATTATCTTGCTGACGAATTACGAATGCCGTACGTCATCAAAGTTGTTAATTAATGAAAATAATTCACTCTCTTTTTATTCAGCCGTTCGGCCTATTACTCTATTCTTCATATTTTGATATTTGTACTATATATACGTATATGACTTTTATCATTGAATATATACCACCTATAACTTTCAACTTCAAGCTTATACTTCATGCCTATTTGCTTCAACAAACTCTGTGTCTGTCGTCAAAACTGGATGCCAGACTCGTATATAGGTAGACGTTCCACGGTCCATGTTCATTTGTTCCCGATTTTCCCGTAACAAATTCATGGTGCTTATCTCATTAGACGTCCGGAACCTGTTAATACTCGCCTCTTATTGATTGTTCCATTGAATGTTATTGCAATTATGGGATAATTTCAGCCAGAAGAATACCTGTGCGCGCCGTTTGCGCTGAACCAGACCCAGGAGGAGTGGGTGGTTAAATTCGACCCCCTCGCCTCGGCCAACAGAGCCCACCACATGCTGCTCTACGCCTGCTCTGATGTGCCCCAGACGGACGGATACTGGTGAGCTGCTCTGAACATGTCTTGCTCTGATGGTGGGTTGCTCTGAACATGTGCTGCTCTGAACATGTGCTGCTCTGAACATGTGCTGCTCTGAACATGTGCTGCTCCGAACATGTGCTGCTCCGAACATGTGCTGCTCTGAACATGTGCTGCTCTGAACATGTGCTGCTCTGAACATGTGCTGCTCTGAACATGTGCTGCTCTGAACATGTGCTGCTCTGAACATGTGCTGCTCNGAGTTATTATCCGCGGTACTGGTGAGCTGCTCTGAACATGTTGAGTTATTATCCGCGGTACTGGTGAGCTGCTCTGAACATGTTGAGTTATTATCCGCGGTACTGGTGAGCTGCTCTGAGTGTATTTCTCGATGTTCATATTCACGAAAGTAAACATAGAATGAGTGGGACTTCTTCAAAATGGTAACTCACTTCTTAACCTGGTGTGGGTCATCCTGACCCAGTTTAGCCCAGCAAAGATGGTATCAAATCTAAGTGCAGTCAGTGTGTTATTATTTAGGACAGTTTGACCCATAGTTTTTTTTCATTGAATTGTCGCTATCTAAATGCGGTTACAATTTAGCAAGGCTAGGCCGGCGGGAACAAATCCCAGCCCTTCCTTCAGTTTTTAAAGGTTCGAGTCTGGGATTCTATTAACATGTTGGGAGCAATCCTCTCTTTTTCACCTAGAATTTCAAAGTCAATTCATCACTTCTTCATCGAAATGGTTTTAGCGATTACGATGTAATCAGGCCTCGCCGGCACGCAGCACAGTGTGTTGCTTGACTGCAGTTACCTTCAGTCGCTAATGTCTCCAATTGAAATTGTAATATCTTATATGAGTTGTTTTTATTTTTTGCCTTTGTAGACTATTTGTGAAAATATTCCTTGAGGTTAATATAGCTAAATTAAGACTGATTGCTAATTCTATATATACTTGGTCGGTTGGTTATAAGTTATGGGAGAGTTTCACAGCATTGCGCTTCATTACCGAGTAGTAGGGCTCTGTGAGAGCGCAAGATTTTATTGAGGTTTACAAGCCTTTCAAAAATGAGAAAACTAAGCGCATTCATTGCATCGAAGCGAGTCTTGCTAAAGTCGCAGTTTCTTCAGATTCAAAGAAAAGAAGACGTCTTTTTCCTATAGTCTTGGGAAAGACTGTGCCGCTAATTCTCAAGAATTTGTGAGTTGGTTTCTCAGTTCTTTATTTCGTTTTCGGTGTTTTATCTCATATCTAAGTGCTGTATGTCGACCAAAAAATGCAAGAACAATGCACGCACTTTCGCTTCTGAGTCGTGCACTGAACTGGAAGTCAAAGAGCCTGCTTATTCACTGCTGCGAAACCTCTTGTGAAGTGCCATGTTTCATTTTTTTTAGTGTTCCTGGAACCGTCAGTTGTGCACAGCCATGTTTCAGTCCTGCAGCTATGAAAAGCTTTGAATGTTCGTTGTTTATGCGACGGTTGCTTCTGAGTCAGCAGCAGCTGCAGGCGCGGACACTTGTGTGGCTGTGCTGTGTGCTGCCTTATCAATAGACGCGTCAACACTATAATGAGTCTTAGCTAACATTACTTGACTTTACTGCTCCATCAATTTGATTATTCAGATCATACAAAGTAAACAATGGAAGAATTTAACAGCAGCGGCATTAGAACGTCGGCTTTTTATCAAGTCAAGTGTATCCAGGAGTGGATGCATGACAATTTGTTCACATCTATTTGTTGAAAAAAGGCTTTTATGTATTACTACTTCTCAGCCACTATCAGTTTACCTTCACTGGAATTATCAACCTGTAGAGCCGTCAGATGCGAGCAACTGCCCGGCTATACCTATACCCTCTACCGCTGTGTGTCACTCTCCGGGAACATAACATTCAACTTAAATTATACGTAAACTATTGAGTGTAGCAACCTGAGGACGTTTGTACGCAACAGAGAACAGTATAAAGTTTTCGTACGTGGCGACAACCATCAGTGCAAGTCATTTTGCGCTCACTAGAACGTATCCTTTTTGGGAAGTAGGCGCATAACAATATTGCTCCGGTTACTCGTGTCAGGCGGTAGAGGGTTAAAGGTGTTAAGATTATATTGTTTAAATGTATGGGTGATTTATAATAATAGTAAAGTAAGCGTATATTATGGACCGTAAGATTGCAGTGGGCGTATATGATGTGTATTTAGCGCATATAACGTAGAAGATCTACTGTAATTGTATATAGAGTAATCGTCCATGATGCACATTAATCCCCCCCCCAGGGACTGCGGGCACCACGGTGTGTGCAGCAACGGGCGCATCATGTACGCCTGGGCGCAGAACGCCCCCTCCACGGCGCTGCCTCAGGGCGTCGGCTTCAGGATCGGCGGCGCGTCTTGGATCAAATACCTGACCTTGCAGATACACTACGCCACCGCCATCCCTGATATTAGCGACCACTCCGGCCTCAGCATGACCCTCACCACCACTCCGTTAGTACTACACCACTCTGTTAGTACACCACTCTGTTAGTACACCACTCTGTTAGTATACCACTCTGTTAGTACACCACTCTTTTAGTACACCACTCTGTTAGTACACCACTCTGTTAGTACACCACACTGTTAGTACACCACACTGTTAGTACACCACTCTGTTAGTACACCACTCTGTTAGTACACCACTCTGTTAGTACACCACTCTGTTAGTACACCACTCTGTTAGTACACCACTCTGT